GACGTCCCATCGATCATATATGGTCCTAGAAGCTGCCAAGAATGGCCGTTTTCTGCTAGAAGTGTAATCCTGGGCGTCTAGATCGCAAATCAGTCCAGCACGACATGCGATTTAGGCGGCAAAATTAAACAGCCATGTGATCGGCGTAATGGCTGCTAAATGCAATAGGTGCCTCTATTGCGGACGTCGCGATGCCTTTCAATGGTCGACAATCAAATCAAGTATTGTCCCAGCCCTGTCGTTAATAATAATAATCCGGCATCCTAACATGACAACAATAAACAGGCCGCCGCCTGTTCATCGCAGCATTTGTTAAGTGATAGACAGCATCAACGAAGGAAGAGTGTCTCGTGGGTACCACGTCTTCCTGTTCATTGGTTGAAGCGGGTATGCGCGGACGCAGACGACCACACAGCCCACGGGCCGTCCCGAAAATCTCAATCTTTCCACAGCCCAAGTGAGCTGCACCAGCACAAAGAACGAAGCGTTGACATACAATGGCGCCAATGCAGAGAACCACCGAGACAATACGAATTGCCAAACACAGCGACCATTGAACAAGTGCTGAACGATTTTGTTCAAATGAACGGATCAGTGGGTCCACGCAGGGTCGTCGGTCAGCCAGGCCACATCCAGACATCCAAGCCTGCAAGGATGACACGAAACTCCAGAGGTTTGGGTGACAGATATTATGGAAGGCTGTCGAATACTGAGGGTGTGAGCACGGAGACAACCTCAGGGTGTGGACCATAACAACGAGGCCAAAGGTTGGGCGATCTATGTGTTTGGGACTCATTCTAGTCGCGCGCTGCAAGGTCTTGTTTGGTAACTATCCCACGTTCTCAATTGGTGACACGTTCGCACAGACCCAGCACAGACCCGTCGACAGGCAATAATGCAAAATTTCACAAAATGATAGAATAAATAGAGTGTATCTGCACGAATATATATCGACTCTCCACCCAATGAAATTTCCAGCCCCACCCAGTGAAATCCTGCAGAAAGAACATACCCACAAACTGACAACACGAAACCTACTTACAACTTAACTATGGCGAACCTCAAGCGGATGCTGTTTGCTCTGTTGCCTGTCGTGACACTCTGTAAAAGTGGATTGTCAGGCTCTATCTAGTCTTGTTGTAGTCAAATGTAGTTGAGTGAAGTCAGTTAAATGTTCGAAAAACGGAATTTAGTCGACCTTCAAGAGTCAAGTCGGCTACTTAGACATCAACCCGTGTTTGCGGCACCCGATGAGTCTCAGATGATACATCTTCGCATTAGTGAATAAAATTCAAATAACAGATAATGTTATTTGCGGCTCCACCCAATGGCAAAAAATGTCGACATATATTCGTGCAGATACACTCTAATGAAGCAAAATGGTGCTTGGGATAGGATGTAAATAGGTTGGAGAGTATGCTATGGAGTCAAATTGGTATGTGGTAGTACAACAAATATGTGAGTCGGGCCAATATAAACAGGTACAGTAGGAAATATTCAACAAAAACTTTCTCCATGATACCAGATGATGGTCTAGTCAACAAGTCCTTCCCCAAATTGCCCCCTACAACACACTCTATAACACCCTACCCTCAGTCTTGCCTGCTGAGCTCCGCTTGTGTCAAGTTGAGCAAGAATGTGCCCTTATGATTTTTGGGTTGTTCGATCAACTTCACCGGCTTCTTGGCATTCAACATAGGGCTACCCCGCTTCGGAGGTGCTATTGACTGTGCTATCGACGCGAATGGGCGTAGTGGACGCGATGGGGGGAATGAGGGATTTCGAGCGGGTTGTGGTCTCGAGGCCGGGATAGTGATAGAGAGTTTACGGGATGGAGACGACGCGAGAGGCGATGAGACGAATGACGTCGAACGAGGTGCGTTTAACGGGGAATGATAGCCTGACACTGCGGTAGTGGCTGTCGGAGATGCGGTATAAATGCGAGCATCATAAATGACTTGAATGAGGACTCACCCATCACTGCGTCAGGTTATATATTCGTTTGAAATCGTGATGAAGAGGACGGGAGGGGACTATAAAACAGGTCGTGACGGTGGGTGATCAAAGACAGTAGTGGGGACACCGTGGGCATGACAAGTTTATTGGGGTTGACTGGAATAGATTCGTAAGGAAGAAACCTTGGGGTAGCAGACCGGCTTCTTCCGTGTGAGCTACGTTAGTGGCTGAACCCTCATTCATGCAGTGAGTCTGACTTGAGTCGATAATACCGAGTCCTGTCGCCCAAATCTTGTTCATCTACATATTATCTTTAACAAAATGTTATAAACACATTTTTTCACAATTTATTTGGCTCTGCTTCGTCGGTCTACTTCGGCTGGCTATTCGCGTGCCACCTCGTGCAACTGATCTTCTAGCCATTTTGCGTGGTTCTGTGTGTGTGTATTCGCCTGCCTTGCGTCGTGCTTTGCTTCGTTTGTGGTTTCTGCCAAGAACAGAGATTCAGCATCCATTGGGATACTGCTGCAGTCGCCAGACTCACCACTGGGGACTCACCGCAGGTTTCAGGTATATTCAGCCATTCTGTGGTAGATGTCTATCCAATCTATGCATACCCCTAGCAACTTTCCAAAAGGTAATCCGTATCGGATAATGGAGGGCCTCAGACAGGGCCCGGGACCCCGATCTTGTTAGATAACGGCATTATCATCGACCACAGTGTTGCGAGAGTCTTCCTTAAGAACTGTCGCTATAGATGGACATCCTTACTTTTACTGAAGGGCTCTTCGTCTAATCTCCTACCAGCTTTAGTGATCTTATGCTTTTGTCTGCGTGGGCCGTAACTCGCCAGGAATGGACGGTGTAGATTTATCTTCAGTGGTATCTGAGAGATAACGCTTCAAGTTGATGCCGTGTCTTCCGAGTCCATGATGTCCGAATCAAGTGGCCTATCAAAGAGGTAGCCAGGCTGTAATATTATACAGAATGTCTTTCAATTGCAGGGAAAGGACACGCATTAATGATAACAAACAGCAAATTATGTGATGGTAGACAAACAGCAAGCTAGCGAAAGTGAATGATAATGCTACGAGATACGTGGTGGCAAATATGCTTTCTACAGTGGACGTGTGTCAGATGTGGATGCGACTGGCAAAAAATGTGGACAGTGCGATTGCTGGAGATGTGGTAGGAGTCATGGTTAGCTCGGTGAGAGAAGAGAAACGGCTATTCAGCATCATGGGAGCGAGAACTCGTCCCAGCTATGCCGCTTGATGATCGCCCTAATGTCTTTGTCGACCACCTTCCATCATCTGCAAACCCTACTGGAAGGAAATGATCGTCCTGCGGAAGTCCGATATCGTGTAAGTAAGATCCAGGGAAATACAACCCACTGGGGAAGTATATACCAGCGGTGTGCGCCAAGATGACGACACACTACGACTGTCTAGTTGTGGATGTGATTGACCAATAGCAGCTACTGGACGTCGACCAGTAAATTGCGTTCGAGGATGTATTTGCCTTCCTTGTATTGCTGCAAAGGCTCAAAAGCTCGGTCCTGAGTTGACTTCAAGTAAATATTTTGGAAGACGGGGGATGAGACGAGAAGCGTACATATTTCCACCCTAATACAGTACGACACTTGCAGCAAGAAATATCGCGGACTGTATGTTTGCCAGTGGTCATCTCGCGATCGATCGGCTCGCCTTCAATTATGTTGACGCTGATAACACTTTACGTGAATAAATCACCAGAGTACTTCAAGGCGACTTACACTGTCTCAAATAAGTATGCCCGACCATGCTGTCCATTGAATGCCTGGTGCATATTTAATAAAGTTATGCATAATCTCCGGACGAGCTTCCAACACTTACCCGGGACATCATAGAATGAATAGTCGCTAAATGCGTCTTACAGTTGGCGCATCCGTAAATACGCTCACCCTCAAGGTAGATTCGGTAAACCATCCCCATAGTTGCGTTAGTATACGGGCAGGTGCGGCGAGGCAATGGTAGACCAGCTATATCGATAGCTGGAGTCGATTGTGAAAGGAACGAGCTCAAGTGCGCTCAATGATTCAATGATCCGATGCTCTGTTGGATGACGCCTGTGGAAGAGAGGAGAAAGAGATTGAATCGCCACCTTGTAAGCCGTCTGTTTTCGGCGCCACCAAGTTCCCACCTTCAACTGTTGCCACCACAAGTCCACAACAAAATCATTGCAGTCTAGCATAGTCACCTCCCGCACAGTGCCAATATTAATATTCGGCAATGCTCTCGACATGCTGTCATCGCAATAAGCCTTGTTGACCGGTACGGATACTTCATCCTTGCGGAAATCTTGGTCAAAGATCAGCCTGCCAATCGGACAGCACGAAAACTTTCTCAGATGTGATCTTGCCATGTTTTTCGCCGGAAGTCCAAATTAATCACGTATCCGTCCTGCTACCCTGCTCTGTCTCTAACCCTTACATGTTAAGGTCTACAGCCCTGGTCCTGCAGGACAATCATGTGCTGTGGTGAAAATTTAACGACCTAATGACACTTAGATCTCGTAAAGATGCCCTAGAGCTACGAGAGCTTTCGGACCGCACGGCGATCGACCAAAATTTGTACTGATGACTCGACTGCTCTCGCTATGTACTTCTCGACACCACGCCGGGCATCATACTTTTAGGAGGGCCGGCCGAAGTGCGGACGAATGACCTGCACTTTACCCAAACTTTATCTTGCCGAGCCGTTCGCTATTTGACAATATTAGGTTGTCGTGTATTTCAATGTTGAAATGTTGTCCAGGGTATCGTCCGGACTCCGCATGATATCCACCATGTGCACCAGAGAAGATAGTATGATACCCGGCCATTATTTGACCCCGTGCCCACGCCTTGAGTTGCTGTCCATGGGTGTCAGAGGTTCTTCTTTTAATTTTCTTTGTATTGTCCTAGCTTATACTACGTCTCAATATCTCATGTGGGATGGGTAAAAAAATTACACTACGAAACAATAATTCAGTGTCAATGATAAAAATAAGACACAAAAAACTGATGTTCGGTATGAGGATCGAACCCATGATCTCCGGTTTATTCAATAACATCATCGATCATACTTTACATATGAGACCGGCGCTCTAACCAGCTGAGCCAACCAAGCAGCCGGCGAGTGTCAAGATATAGCAGTGTAACCATCCGTGATTTATTTTCAGCTGCAGATAAAAATAAGACACAAAAAACTGATGCTCGGTATGAGGATCGAACTCATGATCTCCGGATTATTCGATGACTTCATCGATCATACTTTACATATGAGACCGGCGCTCTAACCAGCTGAGCCAACCAAGCGATATTGAAGCTGGCGAGTGTCAAGATATAGCAGTATACCTGTCCGTGATTTATTTTCAGCTCATTGTATTTGCAGGATAGAAAGTTGGAATCATTGTTCCGTGGGTTTGTCAACGCTGGTCTAGGACAAGGTCTACCAGTGGTTTGCCCTGCTTATCTGCATGACTTTGTTCGTGCCACCTTACTTATATAACCCGGTAATGAATTGATGCCACGTGGCTTTCCTTCGTCTTAGGCTCGCCCGCTCTCGCCGCCCCTGCTCGTCTGCCTCGGACTACGCGCCTAGTTTGTTGCGTTGTTTGTCGTTCGTCGTCATCAGGCTGAAACACTACTTCTGTCCGCCCATTTTCTTGTCTGCTACCTTCGATGAACCCACGAAAGAGATCGGCAACGGAGACACTATACTCTACACGCTCAGCGAAACATCCACGTACTGCACGAAACCGCCATACGGGCGGAGAAAATCGTAGTACCACTGCACTGGAAGCCCGCTGGAAGAGAATGGGCATTGACTTAATGAATTTGGCTGGCGAGACCATCGTGCACCTTGTCAAAGGTAACATATTGCCCTCGATTCGGAAACGTTGATGCGATCTCAACGCCGTCTCCTTGAATAGCTATCAAACGTACGGAAGAGGCAGTGGTCTCGCCTTTACCTCTTCAAAGCCCATCTACTCCCCCGTCGTCGTATGAGTTCGAACCACCCTTCCATAAGGAAATACCACCTGAATCCCCGAAATTGGCCAGTCCACCACCGCTGTCGCGTCATTCAATACCTTCCAAACGTACGAAAGAACCCGTGGACTTGCCCCTATCTTCATCTACTCCCCCAAAGCCGTTTACGTTCGACCCACCGCTCTGCAACCCAATACCCCTTCAATCCCCGAGACCGGCTAGTTTGTCACCGAGGTCGCACCAAAATCTGACTGTGCAGATCGCAAATGCACCCTCACTTCCGTCGACAGTCACCGTGACGACCTCTACATCATCGGTCCCGTCTTCATTAAATTTTCCTTCTTCAAACTTAGAAGTCGATCGGGCACTTTCCAGGGCAGAACGTCGCGTACGACGAACTGGTTATTCAAAAAAGAAGACTCGACCCCACATATATGCTGCGAAAGTATGTCAAACCACACTATCCATATAAACTCCGGTCTCACGCTCTTCGATTTAGCACAAAGCTCAGGTGCAAGCAAGCAAGAAGAAGAGCTTAAAGGAGATGGAAAGGGAGTTATATAATTTAAGGCGTAATGGAGGTGCGTGTGTGCTTTGTTTTATTGGCCAAGTAGTTACTGACACGCCATGTATATCAGGATATCATTCCGATTTCCAAACTTTCAAAAGTAAGATATCTCAAATCGTTCTGGATGGCCGTCACTGACCGTCACTCCAGCTTTGTTGGGTTATCGCGCAAAGTTGGAGCTATTGGAAGGACGCGCAGCCATTATACGTAAGTCTCAATGTTTCATCTGTAAAAACATCAACTTGAGCATCACCTTGTGGTGTAGCATCCCCATCTTTGACAGACCTGCGATCGCATTCTACGGCACATGCGCCAAGACGTCGGCATTCAGTCTCTTATGTAGGCACTTCTCCTTTGGCACCGTTGAAACATCCCTCACTCTATGTTTAGGATGAAAGCTTCCTGGAACGTGCCCTAGCCAAAGCTAAGAAGACACTCGATGGGTCAGTCCTTTCAGTATCATGTTCACATGACGTTTTGGCTGAGTTGCAGCCGCATTTTAGACCAAAACCGCCACAGCCTTTCATTCCCAAGTTCGATCAGTTGCGAATCTCGGCTCGCGCCAAAGACGCAGAGATTGAGCAGCGGTTACGTCCCAAACCGAAGCCTTTACCGACATCTCTTCCCCCTGAGGACGAAGCCAAAGTTGATATGATTCTCCGTCAGAGAGGTGTTGTCTCCAAGCATGGCAGGGAGCAAGTAACGGATCAGGACTTAAAGCGTTTAGGACCAGTGCAATGGGTGAACGACGAAATTATCAACTTCTACGGATCGATGATCTTGGCACGGGCCGAGGCAAGCAAGGAAAATCCTGCCCCGAATGGAGCAGCTCCTGGAGAAGGGAAACCGCTGAATGCACACTACTTCAGTACATTCTTTTGGTCAAAGTTAAAGGGTGAAGGGTATGAAAAGGCGCGGCTGGCAAAATGGACGAAAAAGGTCGGTAGATGCTTCGGATTTGGACTCCACTATACCTCAAAATATGTACTGTTTAGTTCGATCTGTTCTCAAAGGACGTCGTGCTTATTCCGGTCAACCACAATAATGCCCATTGGACCGCTGCTATCATCAACTTTCGGCGTAAACGCATAGAGTCGTACGATAGCATGGGAATGGACAGAGGAGAAGTGTTCAAGGTTTGATCCTTCGTTCCTCTTAGCATCCGGTATCTCATCCCACTGTAGCTTCTACGCATCTACCTCGACGCCGAACATCTAAACAAAAAGAAGAAACCATTCGATTTCACCGGGTGGGAAGACTACCTTCTTGAGGTCGGTGTGCACGAAGTCGTACTCATTAGCCGCCTGCTTACACACTTGACAAACAGGACACCCCTGAACAAGAGAATGGATATGATTGTGGCATCTTCACATGCCAATTTCTTGAGAGAATCTCGAGAGGCGAAGAACGCTTTAACTTTACACAGGCAGATATGCCCTACTTGCGCAGGCTCATGATTTGGGAAATTGGTCACGCGAAATTACGTGGTTAATCGGAACGCCTGGATGACCATCATTGTGCTCTGGCATATCAATTTTATCTTGCTGTGGTCCCCTGCTCATTGTATCGAATGATTGCTGTGATCCGCACGTAAGTGTATATTGCAGAGATGTATCTGAGTGATATGATATCCAAGGCAGAGTGGGCATAATTACTATCGTCGAAACCACCACACGACAATAAAAAACCAGAAAACCACTATAAGAAAGACGATGTACCATAACCAACGGCATCCCTGTCGTCCAGCCATGTTGTTCATTCGCCGAAATGTCCCAGATAAAATGCCGGATGTCTCTGCAAAAGCGTCGTTCTGTAGTCGAATAAAGATCAAGGTTTTGTACCTCTAGTTGTTAGTAGGCCACTCACCATTTGACTGAGTTGTACAGTAGAGTCTCGCACTTCGCTGCCTATCGCAGTAGTGATCTGTTTTGTTTGTGCATAGAGCAAGTGGGCATTTTTAGTGAATGTGCAGATATAAGTTACAACCAACTCACGTCCTTTAATAACTTGACCTTCGCACTCAGACCTTCTAAATGCTCGTCGTTTTGACCCTCTAAGTCATCCACGAAACGTTGACCAGTCGGTTGGTATCGGTTGTCGTCGAACGGAGAGGACCGCCCCGAAGACGGTGGTGTTACGCCAAGTAGACCCGAACGATCGCGCAGGGAATTTGTTGCCTTAATGCTTGCCAGAAGTCAGGAAAAAATACAGCAGAGCAGTAACCAGAATACTAACCGTTGCGACATTGTAGAGTGTATTCATCGGTGTCGTGGCAATCATTATGGCCCTTAAAATCACGTGCACGTGACATGTTACAATTTTGAAGCACTCGCTGGGACGCAAACCTAACAAATACATCTATAGACTTCCCAACGAGTACCGAAGAGAATGCTAATGGGGAAGAATAGGCGAAAAAATAAGAATAAAATGCTGATATAAGGCAAGAATAAAGGAGAGTAGGTACGCCTGAATGCAGTAGTTCCAGCAACAACAATCAAGCGTGATCATACAATATGTATATACATAAGTCGAAGGGGGCAGGCAAGGTGCATGCATGACACTAGTGTGCGAGGACAAGTGGGTGGGGACAATGCAAATGAAGCGTCCGCCGTGCATGATGATTACAAGTCCGTGATGTCATAAACACAAACCAAGAGGGATCCCTAATCAATGCTCATGCGATTTGGATTTGCACTCATGGCACGGTGATGTAAGTGCTGTGATCCCCATCGTGCGTGCTCGTTCTTGTTTTTCGTCACTGCGAGCAAAAGGTGTTAGCAAGGTTTTAAAAAGCGCTGTGCTTTGTAGACTCGCTTGTTTTTTTCAGTCCACGACCAAAGTTACGCATGACGATGGTGGCAAAGACGAACGTCACCAATAAAAGAATAATGGCAATCACGGCTATAGAACCATCATAAGTAATCAGAACGTCAGAGGACAAGTGTAACTTACAAAAAGTGGTAAGAGACTTGTAGACGGCCAGGAATTGCGTCTGTCGGGTCGGGTTACTGGAATCGTCTGTATACATGATGACTCTGACGAGCTAGAACGGGACCCAGTTCAGTACTGACGACAACTGAGAGGGTGCACTTCCGCCAACCTTGTAAACGAAGTAAATGAGCGCGCTAACACAACCAGACATGAAAGTGACCATCATCCATTTGTTCTCGTGTCTTGCGGCCAAATGACCCTCCACAAGTAAGACGATTGACAGTGGAAGCGCGGCACAGGTGACATAGTACTCCCAATCACCGGAGTTGAGAACGAGCCAGATGAACTGCACCGAGAAACCAACCCAGAAGAACACGTCGAACTTGACCAAGCACTGGAATACTTGATAGCTGGCGTACATCTTTTTGATCCGGCGGTCGGCACCGAGGAATTTGTACACCTTCCATCCGAACTCGTTATAGATTTTCCAGGCAAGCCCCACGTATATCAATTCGGCAATAGCAATGACGATGGGAATGGCCGTGGTCAACACATTGATAGGAATATGGGAGAAGCCTTTAGCACTGGATAAATCGGAGGATTGTTGGATTTCTGTGATTTGGATGATGGCATAAACG